AATTTGAAAAGCACTTTGGACATTTTTAAAATTAAAAATCAACTTACATTCCGTTAATTGTATTTTATGTATTTTATTTTATACTTTTTTATCCAGGCTGAAGAATTATCTGCAGAATTTCTCAAATACACAAGAAGTGATGCAAAACAAGGAGAAGGTGAAGAAGTGAAGAGGTGCTATTGGCCACTAGTGAAGTGTGTGACTGTCAGGGTTCCTAGTAATGATCTTCTCCAGCATGTCACACTTGTGGACCTTCCTGGAACTGCGGACTGTAACAAGAGCAGAGATAAAATGTGGAAAAAGGTAATTTATTCACATGTACTGCTGTTTGGTGTGTATTAAAATTATCTCAAGACTAACAGAATGTTTTTACAAATGACTAATTATTCACAAGAAACATGCTGTTATTCCTCTTCAGCTTGTTGGAAGTTGCTCTACTGTGTGGATTGTGACTGATATTGATCGAGCAGCCTCAAAGAGAAAAGCCTGGAAGATCCTGAAAAGAGCCCGTAGCCTCATTGCAAATGGTGGCGAGTGTCAACGCATTCACTTTATCTGCACTAAGTCTGATGTTTTGGGTGGTTGGTAAGTGATTTAACCTGCCACAAGTACATAGTTTAACACCCAAATAAAACATTGACAAATGTGCAGGCCAACAATCCTCTGGACTAAACACAAGCAAATGTACATATATTTTTACAGTACAGGTTGTACAGTACTAGTAAAATGGGTTTTTGTTCCTGTGTGACACTGCACACTTACAATGCCCCCCACCCCTCAAGGTGATGGGACACATGGGAAAACTAAAGCTGCCGTTCTCATTAAAACTCCAGTTGCAGTGGGTAGTCTGTTGGTTTGTGATCAGTTGAAGGACCCCTTCTTTTTCTTGGCTAGCTCTGAGAGAGTTACTTTTATGACTCTAGCTGTATGTTTGGGCTGGATGTCTTGCTGCAGAATAAATTTGGTATTGATCAGACACCCCCTGTGTGAATTGCATTATGGACAAGCATGTAAACCTCTAAAGTTCTTAAAGCTTTTGCACAGCGCTGTACATTAAAGTTCCCAGTAATAGATGAATGCCTAATGAGTAACTAATGTGATGGGATCTAACTTTCTTTTGTCTATTCAAGGAAATTCCTCAACAGCTGCTTAAAAACAATTAAACTAAATGATCTATCACCAACTCTAGTTCTTTGTAGGAAACTGCCTAGGAAATCATGGATCTGTTAAATAGTGTTTCACTTTTCAGTATAGGCTTCACAAAAGATACATTTGGCTTTTATTTTAAGTGAAGACTGTTAAAAAAACATTTCAGGTTTCACTGCTCTGAATACTTTATAAGGTACCACTTAATACAAAGCTTTTCTTATAGTTCAGCAATTGATGTTCATGGTCTCATACGTGAAAGAAATGAGAAAGCCAAAGAAGACATAAAGAGAAAATTCAGCAAACTAAAAAAGATTAAGGTGAGTTACACAAATTGACAGAAAATCCAGTACAAATATTGTGTACAATAATAAACCTGCCTTAAGATCAAACTCTTTTTTCCAGAAACATTTCAGTGATGAATGTTTCGAAGTGTTCACAGTGAGCTCCATAGAGTTTCTAGAAGGAAGAAATGTAAAGCCAGGTGAAACTGGTAGGTGAACAGAAAATATGTAGCCCAGTACATGTTTTAGTTTGCTTGAACAAAAATGACTAATTGAATCATGATATTTGAGTAAATAATACACAAACTGCAATTTGTTGTTTCTACAGAAATACCGAAGCTTCAGGAGGTCCTGAAAAATCTCAATGACTGTCACTCAGAGACATTAAACTATGTGTCTGGAGCTCATGGGATTCTGTCTTTGATGCAAGGGGCCAGATGCAAAGATGTGGTAAGATCAAGTAGTAACACCACTTTGATTACCTTGAATTGTTTTAAGTTCGACACCACTTTGATTATCTGGAATTGTTTTAAGTTCATTCATATTCACAGAATATAAAATCTACTTGTATCTGTACTTTTAGCTCTCTAAAGAGCTTACATGTACACTGATCAGCCATAACATTATGACCAATGGAGGCTGAAGTGAATAACACTGACTATCTGCTATAGTGGCACCTGTCAGTGTGTGGGGTATATTAGGCAGCAAGTGAACATTCAGCCCTCAAAGTTGATGTGTTAGAAGGAGGACAAATGGGCAAGTGTAAGGATCTGAGTGACTTTGACAAGGGCCAAACTGTGATGGTGAGATGACTGGGTCAGAGCATCTCCCACTGCATTCATTATCTATACCACTCATCCTGAATAGCATTCAGTGGTCAGTACCTACTAACAGTGTCTAAGGAAGGACAAATGGTGAACTGGCGACAGGGTCATAGACACCCACAGCTCACTGATGATGAGATTGCCCTACTGTAGATTAAACGTTTAACTTCCATTTGAATCTTTGTTAAAATGGTTGATTTAATAAGCATTAAGTAATAGATAACTAATGCATTTATTATTTTTCATGTTAATTAAAGTATCAACTCATACATTATTTAATAGTTTTTAATGACACTGCTAACATTAGTTGATACAGTAATAAGTATTAACTACAAGAAATAAATAATACAATAATAAGGATTAAATAACTTAAATATCTCTTGGTAACTAACACTAGTAAACAGTCAAAGATATTAACATGTATTTCACTAAGTTCACAGCTTAGCAGTTTCATTCGGAGAAGGCTGTTTTAATATTCATTTATGAGTAATAATTGTCCACTTACTTGTCCATCCTCCACCCTACGACTTCACTTTGTGACAGCAAATGGATTCACAGAAGATGTACAGTGAGCTACAGAGTGACACAAGTGCCAACCAACTGCCACATTGACGCTTATGTAAACAGTATTAGGCAGGTGGTTATAATGTTATGGCTGATCAGTGTAATGTCACCATTATAAACATTCTGACATCCATAATCTTGGTTACTTCAGAAAGGCTGGATAACAGCAAGAATTTAAAGAATTCAGAACAGAATTTCACACAAAAAGTAAAACAAACACTGTTTTGCAAGAAAACCTACTTGAGTTGTGTTTATAGTTTTATGGCTATACATTCAGAATGTGTTTGTTTTAATTCAGGCTGCCAAAAAAATGGATGTTTGCAAAAACCTTGAAGAAAAACTGAAGCAGGAACTTGATGAAGTGAGAAAATCTATTGAAAAGTCGAATGTGGCTTTTGATAGATGCCTTACTGAGGGGGTTGAAAAATCAAAAAGCTCATGTGAAGAAATGTTGAAGTCCATCTTATATCCTGTATGTATTTCAACAATAATTTCATTAATACAAATCACTTTGTCATTTATAGGAGTGTTTTCAAAGATGTTACGTTTTTTCTGTCATGTCTTAAGAAAAAAGGACGAAGCAGTTTGCACAGGACATTGAGATGTAAACAGTGACACCTACAAATCAAAGAAAGGGAAACAAATAAACCTCAATGTGACGTTGTCTTCATGCCTGACTGACAGCATTGATGAGGAATTCAGGAAGACCTTTCCGTAAGAAATTTATTTAATGGGAACATAAAACCTTGGATGACACATATTATAGACTATGGAGAATTTAAATTAAAATATTTTCCATTTTATTATGTAACTACACAAATTATACCATGTCATACTTATATAGAAATCATGTTATAATAACAGAGCCTTGCCATTGCTACCATTATGAAACTTTTCAACTTGTTACTGTTTCAGAAATGAAGCAGAACGTGGACCATTCAACGGAGTCATCAATGAGTTTTCACTCAACACGCAGAGACTCATTGACATGAACAAAGATGTCGAACTGCAACTGATCTTTGTCAGGACAGAGGTAAAAGGTCTTGCTTATTAGTCTAATGTGAGGAAGACTTCAGTGGAACGGTCAGCACAGGTCCACTGTCTACACATAGAGCACTGTGTAAAAGTTTAAGACGCTTGAGATGTTTAGATTTTTTTCCTGTCACATGGTACCATCAGTGACAAAAATTGTGTGTTTGTTCTACAGTAGATGGTCTGGCCCCCACAAAGTCCTGATCTCAAAAATCCACAGAACTGTGGGAAGTTCTCCAACATGTTTGGAACAAGCTACCTGCCAAAAACAATAGCTTGAAAAACTGTGCAAGTGTACTTAGGAGAATTTGAGCTGTTTTAATACTGATTTGATGATATTTTTTCTGTTACTACACTTTTGAAAGCATCCTCACTTTTAATGTCAAACTTTTGCACAGTACTCTCTAAGGAGCTGTTAATACAGTCCCACACACTGTGTATGAAGAATTCTAATATGCTAAATTTTGAAACTGAGTAGATGAGCTTTATTTGCAATGCCTTGACATTATGTTAAAACATGTTTATCTACACTTTATATTCTGTCTTTAAGGAGGACAAAATTAAGACAAAACTCAACAAAACCATCCGAGAGCGTAAGAAAACAATCTACAACGGTCTGGTGGAGAAAATCGAGGAAACCATGCAAGAATGCTATAAAAGTACAAAAAAGATCCTGAAATACTGTTTACAACCTGCCAATATAATTTACATTTACATTCATCATAACTGTGCATAACATTTAAGTTTGACAACAATTTTCTGTTTAACTGTAGAAGCAGCAGATTTTAGAGGACGGGGTTCACTGCAACAGATGAGGGACACACTTCAGGTGTACGTACATGTTTCAAAGAACACCATGTTTGAGGAGGCTAAAGCTGCTATGTTGAACCAACTGAATGAGCTGAAGGTTTGTCACAATTTATAAGAAATGCATTAATGATGTAGTGAAGTGTGTTGTTTGTATGAAAGCTGCCTTTGCTAGTAAAAGGCCTGAAGGCTCTGTCACAAATGTGCAAATGATTATGAATCTAAGATATATAGATTATAAACATAAAAACCTACAGTCTACAGCCATTAACCACCGTTATCAACCAGTCTGAGCAGCTCTCTTAACATATATTCATATTGTTAAAATGTTCGCGCTTTTTTGATGTTGAACACAATATTTGACTGAGTGATGAAGGTTTTGGTGATGAAATAGGAGGAAATCCTGGACGAGCTGGAGAAAACCCTGACAGAAGCAATCGAGCTGTCACTCAAGACAGATGATTACTCAATCCCAGGTAAAGAGAACACATCAAAATAAAATCATTTCTGTAGATCACTCTGAATTTTGTAAATATATTAAAATTTTATCAATGAGCAAATTTCCAATAATGAATATAAAAATGCTTTTTTTTTATTGTTTTTTGATTAACTTTCAGATGTCTCAGATGAGCTTGAGAGGGTGAAGAAACATTACTTTGAGCTGAAGCACAGAACAACAACTGTCAGTTACTGAGTAAACTTTAGTTAAAAAGTCTACACAGAGTTTTTAAAGGACTTTGAATAGTGTATGAGTGAATTTGTTCTGAATAATGTTATCACTGATTTTAATCACAATAATTATTAAAATGAATCCATCAGCAAATTTCCAATGGTGAATATAAAATGTATTTATTTAAAAAAATACATGCTTTTTTGATTGTTTGACTTTCAGATGTCTCAGATGAGCTTGAGAAGGTGAAGAATCACTACTCTGAGTTGAAGAGGCAGCGCAGAATAACAAGTGTCAGTTACTGAGTAAACCTTAGTTAAAAGGTCTACACAGTGTATTTAAAGGGCTTTGAATACTGTATGAGTGAATTTGTTCTGGATAATGTCACTGCTTTTAATCACAATAGCACTGATCCAAGAGATGAACGGAAGTTTTAGTTAAACTGATGATCTAAACTGATCGTTCAATCAGATGATAGGATCTTGTGTTTACTGTGACTGGTTGTCTCCACATTGAGGTACCGTAAATTCCAGACTATTGAGCACACCTGACCATAAGCTGCACCCACTAAAATTAAAAAGAAAAAAAAAATTGTACATATATAGGCCACCCTTGTCTATAAGCCGCAGGTGTCCACATTGCAACATGAGATATTTACACAGAAAGATGTTACACAGATGTGACGCTGCCCTCTCCAACGTCTCACCATCCATTCAATGATGCCAAGCTTAC